TAGATGGAGTATACTGTGGTTTTATTTAAATTTTAGAATTTATAAGGTTATTTATACCTAATGATTGTTCGATGTAGATAAAATTTTGTCGAAGCTTTTATAGGTACTTGTATTGACACTATGGGTAAATTAGCTGACAGTGTAAGGAACTTTAAGAAGGTTAGCTATTGAATTTTTAAAAAGAATTTACAGTTTTTTAAAATTAAGTATCTAATGGTTTTATATTTGAAATGTTTAATATTGCTTATTTCCAAGAGCCAGTTGTTCAATTATGATGTCTATTTTGTTTTACTCCGGCATAAATATTTTCAACTGTAAAACTTAACTATTTTAAGATTTTTAAAATTAATTAAATATATAAAGGGGTTAATTTTAAAGAAGGAATCTAAAAACAACACCTTAAAATTATTAAAATTATTAAATAATTTTAAATAATGTTTTTTATTATTTTACAAATTTCCAAACTTATTTTTTTTCTATATGTGAGTTTTTGAACTTTTATCGATTTTAGATTCTTTAAATTTTTATTTAAAATATATTATTTTTTGTTTATTTAATTAATCAAAGACGTTTATATGTATTTTCTTAAAATTATATTTAAAATTAAATTGTCTCATTATTTATGAACACCATGTATAATTCTTAATTATATAATTACAAAATAAAACTAATAATATTTTACATACACACATATACATATATACAATATAATTTATTATGTAGGTACTATATTACCTAATCGGGCTCACTGATCCTGATGAGTGTTATATTGAACTAAATAAGGTATACCTATACTTATAAGTAATATCTTTATCAATACAAAAGGATGTGTGTCATTAAGGTTACTTGTATTAATTTAGTAATTATAAATATATATAGACCCCCAAATAGTAATTTTAAACTATTTTTGGATGTCTTGGAAAAAGTTTTTAATGATTTAGGTGTGTCTACAAAAATTGTTGTAACAGGTGATTTTAACGTAAATTTTACCCATTTTAGTAATTCTACTTTTTTATTTATTATTGTTAGATTTATTTTTGTTCATTGGTTTCAAACAACTATTTTATTTACCTAGTCAAAATTCAAATTGAAAATATTTATGCCGGAGTAAAACAAAATAGACATCATAATTGAACAACTGGCTCTTGGAAATAAGCAATATTAAACATTTCAAATATAAAACCATTAGATACTTAATTTTAAAAAACTGTAAATTCTTTTTAAAAATTCAATAGCTAACCTTCTTAAAGTTCCTTACACTGTCAGCTAATTTACCCATAGTGTCAATACAAGTACCTATAAAAGCTTCGACAAAATTTTATCTACATCGAACAATCATTAGGTATAAATAACCTTATAAATTCTAAAATTTAAATAAAACCACAGTATACTCTATCTAATATTTTACTTGTAGTATTTTTTCTTATCCAGCTTAAAGTATACCTACATAAAGTTTTGTCAATACAATTACTTATAAAGCTTCAACTGAATTTTATCTTCATCGAAAAATCATTATAACTTTTAAAAATTTCAAAAATCACATGTTATGGGAGTATTAAATATTTTTACATTGCATGTATCTCTAAAAGTTGTTAGTTTCCTTATAATCTAACTTAAAGTAGGGATCCCGAGGTATGCACAAGTTTTGTTGTTAGGAGTATAAAAGCTTTAATTTAATTTGAACCATATTCAACAATTATTTAGTATATCTATATTTATATGACCATATTAACACACTCTTCCAAATAATCCAAAATACTTATTTATTTTGATCAAAATAGATTTTTCTAACCTTAAAATTTCAAAATTAGATGATATTTTTTGTTATAATATATTAACCTACCTTTGATACAGATATTCTTATTCCATAATAAACAAGCTAAATTTTTTTAATAAATGCCGTTTAGTTAAAACTATTTAATGGATAAAACCAGATATATGTAGACCAAATGCACAAAAATTTTACTTATTTGGCACTATACACTTTAGAATTTCATTAAATGCAGTATTTATACTCCTAAACTCTTAAACCAACCATTGTTACTGTGCTACTATAAAGATTTATTAACTTTTAACGCTTAAACATAAATGGTAACAGTATAAATATTATTTCTTGCATTGACTATACTTTGACAGATACATAACCTGAAAAGCCTTAAATGACAATTTATCAAAAGACTGCGTTCCGTACTTGGTCACGTGGTGGGACTTTGAAGTGTGGAGCATAGTACATTTATTCGATGACTTTGTGACTGAAGACAGTATTTACCTCATAGACTCTGAGGATGTAGATAAGAAAAACGAACCAACAAATTTTGAAGGAAATAATATTAAAGAACATAACAAACAATGTCAGGTTGAGTAAGTATTTTGGATTTTAAAATGCACACAAAAAAATTTTGTTAAACATTTATTTGTGGAGCAAACATGAGTTGAAATGTTTGTGATTACCTACCCTTTTGACTACTTTTTTACTTATCTGAAAGGCTAATTTTTACATTCAAAAAGTTAGCATGCAGTAATTATCTTCCTAGAAGGCTAGAAAATTATTTAATTAATTTAATTTATAATATTAAACAAATGTTATAAAGTCATGTATTTGGGGAAATATAAAAAACAATTAGTAGGTACCTATGTATACATATATGTATGTACTATAGTACCTATAGGTACTAAAATTAATATAGGTATGGTTTATTTTTTATAATTATTAAGAATCGCGTTAAAAACATACAATTGATTTTTCTCCAGGGAAGATACGCTTTTGGAACAACAAAATATTGTTGTGAAGGAAAACCTCCTGACCCAGTCTGAAAATAGCTCTAAATTAAACCAAATCAAGGCAATGAACCTCATAATTCAAAAATCATATGTTATTATTCAAAAAACGTGTTACAGAAATAAAAAAAAATATTTTGAAATATTTATTCTCCCACATCAGTTAATTATAATCAATATTTAAAATATATTATTCACTAAACCAGGTCCATTTCATCAGCAGTAATAATATGTGCGGATATTTATACCAAACCTCACTTTGTGGATGCTAGCAAACTTTTAAAAACACTTGGTATAACACCAAAATACATCAATTAAAGTTATACTATAAAAATGCTTATAATTGATTAGTGTATTTCAAGTTATAATACAAAAAAATCCCTCTAGTGGCTACATGGAGCAACTTTGGATATAGGTGTTATTTTTTGTAATCTAATATAGTTTGTTGTAAACTTATTTCAGTGATGGTCATTTTGCTGCTTAAGTGAGAGGTGTGATTCAAAATAATTAAAATATTTCAAAAATTAATTTGTTAAGGGTCAACTATTTTTTGGTGCAAAGGCCCTTAGTTCTAATTTGTTTAAAAAACAAATCATTGTTTTCTAGAATTTAATACTAAATGAAAATTGATTTCAGCTGTGAAACCCCAGATACACATTTATCCATTGATTGTGTTGAATTAAGAGATTCTTCTGAAGGATCAGGAAATACACATTCCCAAGTCGATAAAGAAATTAAAGAAGAAGAAGAAGAGGAGCATTGCATGGATGTTTTTTACGTTAAAACCGAGTAAATATTTTTAATTCCCTTAATGATTAACAAAAGCACGATTTTGAAAATAAAATTAATTACAATTTTGCGATCCATTATTATCCACCCAACACCCTGTATAAATTCAATTTTAGGGCTGCAGTTGAAGAAAGTTATAACGAAAATGAAGCAACTGATACATATGTCGACGATGATGACAACGAGGATTCATCTACGTCTGAAAATGATGAAAAAACCAAAGAGAATTTGAAAAGTAAAGTGAATAATTTTAGATCTAAAATCAACGATAGTGATAAATTAAGTAACGATTCTGATTCTGGAGATGAATGTGAAAAAACCTCTTGCAATATTAAGGAAGAAGAAAGTGACTTTTCTGAAGAAGATAATAAAAATTCCTTACATATTAAAAATGAAGATGAAGCCACGTTTGAGACGAAAATCGAGGTGGAATATCATGGGGTTGAACATGATGATGAAGATGAATCAGGGTGAGTTATTTTTTTATATAAAAATCAAAATTGCAAATTAACCATGGAAAAACTCCAATAATTAAATTTTCTGAGAAATGTTAAATATTTTATTTTGTTTTTGTTACCCCATACTTCATTCATTGAGAAAGTCTCCACTCAACGGTAAAATACCAAAAACGGGTATTATATTATACATTATATTTAGGGTGTCACGAAATAAGTTGTCATCCTTTGTTACCTAATAACATCAAAATAACTAACCCAAAAAGGATTTAGTAATTAGTGTAATATATTAAAATATTAAATACCTTTTGACATAAGGTGTAACGGAAAAATATTTAAAAAAACACTTTCCCAAAGATAAAGAAAAATATGCCTTAGAAGTTTTTTATATTTTTTGTGATACGCCACTGGTCACATACTTGTGTTCTGTGAGTACATAGATAACAACCAACAAAGTAGCTGCGCGTGGCCAGTTGTAAAAAATTGTTGGCTAAAAATTTTTTCTGCAAAAAATAAATAAAAAGTCAATAAATACAAAAGTGTTATGATCTTAAAGCTCTAATACCCTTCTGTATTTATTTACTCATCCAGCTATTAGCTTAAGCAATGATTGGAAAATTTAAAAACCATAACCCCAAAATTAATTTTTATCGGTTTTTTTCTTTCTGTTTACTCAGATGAAATTAAGACAAGTTGTCAAGGTTAAACTTTAAACATTCAATTTGTGTAAATAAATCCAAAAGTACTTAGTTAAGATATTTACAATTTGGGCCCATAACCTGAAATTTGAAAGAAATGCACAGGATTCTGGCATAAAAGTTGCCAGATTTTGTTTGAATTTACCTTAATTACAAAAATGACAATAAACAATTAATAAAAACGCCAATTTAATAATTTGCATTGTTGATATTACATAACACTCTGTATATAAATAGTTTGAATAAAAAACATTTCCGTGATTTTTGAGTTTTTTTTTAGGGAGTCGTTAAAAGGCGACAAATGTACAGAAGAAGACTCTTTAACCAGACACATCAAAACAAAACACAAAGAAATTAATTTCACGTGTCCGCATTGCCCGAAAGCGTACTTAACCAGAGCTAGTTTGAATCACCACATCAAAGGCCATCACGGCGACTCCACAGAGAGAAAAAAATACACTTGTCCTTATTGCGACAAAATATTCTCGAACGTTAGAACGAAAAACGCGCACGTCAGGATACACGAGGGCATTAAGATCAACTGCCCGCATTGCCCGAGCACCTTGGCGACGAAATCCAGCTTGAAAGCGCACATCAAACAAATACACGAAAGTGCCCCCAAACAGAAAGCGCAGATGCACAACTGCGCGCAATGTGCGGACAAATTCCTCAAAAGAGACGCTCTAATCCGTCACATTGATGCGAAACACGGGGGTTTCAAGTACAGCTGTCCGCATTGCCCGAAAGCGTACTCGACAAGGAATATTTTGCAACAACACGTTCAGAGTAAACACTCGCAAAGAAAAAACCACGAGTGCTCGCAGTGCGACAAATCTTTCTCGACCGTGTACTGTCTAAAGTCGCACGTTATATCGGCGCACGAAGGGGTTAAACTGCCTTGCCCGCAGTGCCGAAAAATGTTCACCAACGTGGAGTACCACCTTCGATTCGTGCACGCCGTGCAAAAAGAGTACGGGTGTCCACTGTGCGACGAAAAATTCTCGACCAGGCCAAGCAGATTGGAGCACATTAAAAAAACGCACGACGGCTATCGTTACAAATGCACGTATTGCCCAAAATCTTACAAAAGAAAATACCAATTAATGTATCACATTCGAATTGAGCATGACGGTTCCCTACAAAGATATAAATTCGTATGTCCGCATTGCCCGAAAGCTTTCACGAGAAGCGATTATTTAAAGAAGCACGTTAAAATCAAACACGGCGATCCCCTACAAAGGATTACGTACGATGGTCCACATTGCCCAAAAGCCTTTAAAAGCGGCGAAGATTTAAACAGATACGTTCAAAGCCAACATGGAGATCCCTCACAAAAACAAAATACAAAGTAGAGGGCCTACTTTGTATTTTGTCTCTTTGTAAGGAATCCCCACGCCTATGCTAGAGAAAAGAAAAGCAAACAACGTTGTCTTAACTAAAGCAAAGTGTGGAGGTGTCCCATGATGCTAAAATCGACTGAAAAGAGACTTTTTCATGCGAGTGTTTAAGTTGCTCACGAGGCCGTTAGGCCGAGTGTGCATTAACACGAGCTTGAAGAAAGCTTTTCTTACAAGTGAAACACAATGTTTTTTCTACCACCCTTTTATTTTTTATTATTTTCAAATACAAAACAAAATAACCTAAAAACGTGTTTGACAGCTGTTAAAATTACTTTCATCTTATATAAGAATATTCTTTTAATTTTTAAGGTATAAGTTACTTAAAATCAATAAACTTACCTTCTAAATTTAAATAAAGGCACCAAAAATTAGAATTTATTATACAAAAACAATTAATTGTGTTCTAAATGATATTTAGACATACATATATAAATACAATACAAATGTCAAACGATGCTGTCAATTTCTTTTCACACAGACCTGTCACTTTTCACATGGAAATGTCACTTTACATTCAAGTTTTGCCTTGCCAATGAAAATATTCATTTTCTAAGCAACGATGCAATTACAAAATGTGACTTAACTAGTGGTCATAGAAAAAATATTTTGCAAGAATTGGGGTGTTTTCTAGATATCATACCATGCGGATTTTCATAATTCCAAATGCGGCTGTTTTTGTTTTAAAATATCCATCACGCGTAAAACAAGCTTTATCCAAAAATATTTATTTATTACTATTTATTATTTAAGTGTAAATGTACAGTATTTTAAAATAATTTTTTTACCATTTTTTTTTAAATTTTGTAGCATTATATTATATAATTTGAGACACAATTGTATTTGTAATTTAAGATAAATAAACTTTTAATGCATACTTTTTTGGACTTTTATTCAAGTGAAAATGTTTCCCTGAAAATAGTTTTGGAAGTCTTGGGTACTTTTTTTTAAATCATAATAGGAATATTAAGTTGGTTTATTAATAAGCAAGATTATAATAGTATATTATGCTATTTTAACTATTTTGCAAAAATTCTTTAAAAATTAATTTTATACCTTATATTTAATTCGAATTTTACTTCAGATAGTTGGTATCACAGTAATTGGTTTGAAGGGTTAATGTCGTTCTTAATTTACAATAAGCGGCTGTTAATGTTAAAGAAGAAGAAAAGGATTTTCTTTGGTGTTAAACAACATTTTTGCCAGAAAAGTCTCGTAAGTGCTAGAAAAATCATAAAAATATTATAACCAATATGCAAAATATTATGCTGTTTAAAGTATACCCAACCTAAAAAATCAAAATTTTGGGTGGGATAAAGTATCTCATTAGAGCATCGAAAGCGATGTTATAATGAAGTCATTATGGACGCAAAATAGATAAATTATATTTTTTGGTGTGCATGCGCAAAAGAGATGTGGATTGTGGTACATACCTTGTGTGGATTGTGTTTTATGTGTTGTTAATATATAGTTTATAAGGTGCCTTTGTTTACTCACCCGTTTTCTAGATTATTATTATTTTTAAAATAAAGTTACCACGACAACTAAACGAATTTTGATGCAACACGCCAAAAATACATTTAAAGAAGTTCTGTTACTAATTAAATGATAATGAATAATTATTAACAGAACCCTCAAGGATATGTTGTAGAAATAAGAATCCAGGATGTAGTATATAATATTTTTATTTTCAACAAATTCAGTTTTGAAGAATGTATACATGTACCTAAACCCACACTGAGAAAAAAGTTTATTGCTTCCAAATAAAAAAAATATTTAAATATGGGACAAGGGTACAGTTTATTTATCCTAAATATATTTTTATTCCCGACATATAAAGTTTTACTAAAGTATATTTATCGTTATTATTTCGACTATTTAGAGGTAATAAACAATATATTCACTATTAATAAAAGTATTAGCTACACAGTTTATTTGTCCCATTTTTTTCTCAGTGCATATAAAACTCATATTAATAATAATAATAGTAATAATAATAATAAATGTGTATTGATCATAAAATATGCAATCAATGGGCGAAGTTTAGCTTATACAAAAGCATGTATTCAATCAGATTGTTTTTTTAATATAACTCGAATGCCTAAAATTATAATTTAATTATATATATTCGAAATTAAAGTATTAAAATATCAACTATAGTGTCTTTTTTTCATGTGTTTTCGCATTTTAGACAGGTTGGAGAATTTTTTATCGCAATCCGAACATTTGTATTTTTTTTCTGCTTTTTTCTTGCTGTGCATTATTTCTATATGTTTGTTTAATATTTGCTTAGTTGTTAGTTCTTTGTCACAATGCGGACATTTGTATTTTTTCCGTTGCAAGGGATCTCCATGTAGGTCTTTAACGTGCCGTTTTAAATAATCACGCGTTGTGAACGCTTTTGCGCATTGCGAACAACTGTATTTAACATTTTCGTGTACTTGTTCCACGTGCAGTTTTTTAGAATGCGTGGATAAGAATAGTTTGTCGCAATGTGGACACTCGTGTTTTTTTCGTTGCAAGGGATCGCCATGTTGGGCTTGAACGTGCCGTTTTAAGTAACTACTACACGTGTACGCTTTTGCGCAGTGCGGACAGCTGTGTGTAATTTTGTCGTGTATTCTTTTTATGTGCAATTTCAAAATGTCCGTAGACAAGAACAGTTTGTCGCAATGTGGACACTTGACTTTTTTTCTCAGTGAAGGATCGCCGTGTTTGATTTTGAGATGTTTTCTGTAAAGCGCAATGCTTGTTAACGCTCTGGGGCAATGTGGGCAATCGAATTTAATATTTTCGTGGGTTTGTTGCACGTGCAGTCTTTTAGATTGCGCAGATAAGAATAGCTTGTCGCATTGCGGACACTCGAATTTTTTTCGTTGCGAGGGGTCGCCATGTTGGTTTTTAACGTGATTGTTGAAGGAATCGATTCTTGAGAAAGCTTTCGGGCATTGCGGACATTGGTATTGGTTTCTTTGCGAGGGATCGCCATGTTCAACTCGAATGTGGTATCTTAGGTTAGGTTTCAATTTGTATACTTTCGAGCAGTGCGGACAGCTGTACGTTACAGACTCGTGTTCCGATTGTATGTGCGTAGTTATATTCGACGTAGATGCAAATGCTTTGTCGCAATGTGGACACTTAACTTTTTTTTTTTGCGAGGGATCGCCGTGTCGGTTTTGAACATGTTTTTTTAATGCTGAACTACTTGTTACCGCTTTCGGACAATGCGGACATTGGTATTTGATTCTCTGTAGGGGATCGCTGTGTTGCGTTTGAACGTGATATTTTAAAGACTCGATCCTTGTGAACACTTTCGAGCAATGAGAACAAGTGTGTTTAATAGATTCGTGCGTAACTTCTATGTGCGCTTTCAAACTTTGCAAGGATAATACTTGCTTGTCGCAATGCGGACACTTGTGTTTTTTTCTTTGCGAGGGATCGCCATGTATGTTTTGAACGTGCCGTTTTAAATATTCACTTGTTGTGAACGCTCTCAAGCAATGCGAACAACTGTACTTAATATTTTCGTGTATTTGTTTAATGTGCGTTTTTATAATATTCATCGACAAGAATAATTGGTCGCAATGCGGACACTTGAATTTCTTTCGCTGCAAGGGATCGCCATGTTGGGTTTTAACGTGCTTTTTCAAAAGCCAACAAGTTGTTAACGCCTTGGGGCAATGCGGACAACTGTATCTAACGTGTTCGTGTATTTTTTCTATGTGGGTTTTTATACTTTCCACATTCAGGAATAATTTGTCGCAATGTGGGCACTTGTGTCTTTTTCTTCGCGAGGGATCGCCGTGTCGGTTTTGAATGTGCCGTTTTAAATACTCACGCGATGTGAACGCTTTCGAGCAATGCGAACAACCAAATTTAATACTTTCGTGTATTTGTTTTATGTGCAACTCCAAATTTCTTGTAGATAATAATAGCTTGTCGCACTGCGGGCACTTGAATTTTTTTCGTTGCGAGGGATCGCCATGTTGGTTTTCAATGTGGTATTTGCAATACTTCCTGTCAATAAAAGCTTTCGGGCAATGCGGACATTTGTATTTTTTTCTTTTCAAGGGATCGCCATGTAGGTCTTGAATGTGCCGCTTTAAATAATCCCTACAAGAGTACACTTTTGCGCAATATGGACACCAGTGTTTAATCTTGTCGCCGTGTATTTTTTTTATGTGCTCTTTTACATTATTCGTAGATAGGAATAGTTTGTCGCAACGTGGGCATTTGTATTTCTTTCTTTGCAAGGGATCGCCATGTCGGTTTTGAACGTGCCGTTTTAAATATTCACTTGTTGTGAACGCTTTTGAGCAATGTGAACAACTGTGTCGAACAGATTCGTGCTTCGCTTTTATGTGCACTTTCAAACTTTGTGAAGATAAAAATAGTTTCTCGCAATGTGGACACTTGAATTTTTTTCTTTGTAAGGGATCGCAATGTTGGCTTTCAACGTGTCTTTTTAAATGTGCACTGGTTGTTAAAGCTTTTGGGCAATGTGGACATTTGTAGGAAGGACCGTCAGATTTGACGCATTGCAATGAATCCCTGAAACAAAACGTATAACACAGAAATGTTAATTTAACAAAAGAGTGCGACGCCCTGAAAAAAAAATAACTTACCTTGATTCATCTTCATCACCATATTCAACCCCATGATATTCCACTTTGATTTTTGTCTCAAACGTGGCTTCATCATCATCATTTTCTTCATCTTCATTATGTAGGGAATTTTTATCACCTTCTTCAGAAAAGTCACTATCCCCTCCTTCTTCCTTAATATTGCATGAGCTTTTTTCACTTTCATCTTCAGAATCAGAACCGTCACTTTCTTCACTATCGTTGATTTTGGATCTAAAAGATACATAAATACCAGAGAAATAATATTTTACACAATCTTGTATCAATGAATTTTGTGGCCAGAAAAATTTCTCATGCAGCACTATTAATCAA